CATGAGATACCAGTGCACTAATTTAATTACTTTGAGGGTAAATTTGCACCACAAATTACTTCAGGCCAATGGGTGCACCTGGCTAAATACATGGGGGTGCTGGGTGCACCTTAACCCAATTTTAAATGATAATAAATTGTATTGTTTAAGACAGCTTAAAATTATATTCACTTTACCAACGGGGTTGGTCCAAATGGTAAACGGCTTGGTACCGCTTAAGCGAGGTCTCGAATTCGAGCCTCAGCATATGCAGAAATCCCCGTTAGGAGACTCACCCACCGCAGCCAGGTACGCGACCCGGGTCGGATCCAGATGTAGTCGAAGCAAATCTCCGGTGAACTGGGTGGGCAACCTAAAAAAAAAAAAATTATATTCACCTTTCATAGAAGTGCAATTTTTTTTATTAGAAATTCAAAAATTAAGAAAACCATAAAAAAATTTTAAATTATTTATTAATTTTTATATTTAAGATCCCAATTGACGTACTATTTAATTATGATGTTTCCCATTTAATTCAATATATTCAAATCCCAATTAAGATATCATTCAAACTCAAAATTAATTATTAATTCCTTCATTTGACTCTCAAATTGAAATCCCATTTAATAATGATACTCCTCATTTAATTCAATACACACATAATTCCCAATCAAAATATTTTTCAAATCTCATCAATTAAATATAGGGATAATTAATCCACAGCTCCTTATAGTTTCAACTAATTCTGAATTAGGTCTTTATAGTTTTTTTTATCAAGTCATTATACTTTCACCTGTTTTTAATTAGGTCATTGTATTTATTTTTCTTTTTATCATGTCCTTATAAGTTCATTTTATTTTTAATTAAGTCCCTGAATTTTTTATTCTTTATTTTATAAATTCTAATAGTACTATTATATAAACATAAAATAGTATATATTATTTAATATTAGTTTATAAACAATAATATTCTAAAGATATTGAATTATTATAATGATTTTAATTTTTTCAGCAAAAAAATTAATTGTTCTAAAAAAATTTCTGAATTAATTAATTCTATTACTTTGTTATTACATAATTATTAATATTTTATATTTCAGTATTAATCTATTTAATTAAGCTTATATTTAATTAATAAATAAAAATTAAAACTACATGGATCTGATTAAAAATTTAGTGAAATTATAAGGACTTAATTAAAAGAAAAATAAATACAAGGACCTAATTAAAAAAAGATAAAAGTATAAGGATCTGATAAAAAGAAAAAAACTATAGGGACCTGATTCAAAATTCGTTGAAATTATAAGGACTTGCGGATTAATTAACCCTTAAATATATTCGGATGTCTTAATGTTATACTCAACCCGTTTTTAAAACGAATCGGGTATTACAAGTTTTCAAAAATATAATTGATTGATGATTGATTGATTAATTGATTGATTGATGATATTATTAATTGATTGATCCCGTGGCCCCTGTGTCTCTGATTATTGGAATGGAAAGTAAAGGGATCATAAAAAATGATTTGATGTTAATATTAGTGTGGATATATATATATATATATATATTTAAAATTTTTAAGCTTTTTCTTTTGATACCCAACGTTGTGTAGTTGTAACGCAACAACTTAATTTTAAATTTTCGCAGGGCAAAAATTTAAAAAAAAGAAAGAAAGAAAGATGATTTCGCATCCTTTACTGTAAAATATAGTGAAATAAAAATTGTTTTGAACAGACAAAATTATATTTTTATTTTATGACGAAGAAAATAACAGTTGGGAAAAATTGTTTAGTCATGCAACCCACATAGATTAGTAGTGGGCAATTTCCAGCTGTATTGTTCATGTGACTGTATAGATTTATTTTTCTGAAGAATGAATTTATGTTTGAAAGTTTCTTATTAATTTTATCTGATAAGTATTCCCTCTCCCACGTTTCCGAAGTTGTTAAGAGGCAATTTGATTTGTAAAATGACGTTTGGTCAAAAAACAAAATTGTAAAATGGCATGGAATAGAAAAATAGAATAAAAACTACTTTTTAGGCATGAAATGTCGCATGTATTTTTATATCAAATAATCAACAATAAACACTAATAATATTAAAAAAAATAATGATAACAATAATTTGAAAAAAATATAATTCTAAACATATAATAGATATTTCCCCGTCCCAATAATTTTACAATAAAATATACCCTTTTTCCTTCCTTATAACAAAGTAATATAATTAAATAAACTACAACACGGTAACGTTGAATGTTGAATTCCTGCAAAATAATACTACTTCTGGTTCTAATTATAAAATCTCATTTCTAAGCTACAAATGACGTCTTATTTTATAAACAGGGTCTTATAATTAAGATCAGAAGTAATATATAATCAATTTTCTAGTTATCAAACGATTTTTGAGTGTGGCTGTTTGTTTGCGCATGTATATAGCCCAACTAAAGATTATTTCAACACGTCCTAGGTTTTTGTTCTCGTCGTATGGTTTACTTTAATCCTTTCTCATAGTATTATTTTTTCCATGTGCATACGTTTTGTCTTAACATTCCCGTGCACCCCAAATTTGGGGACATGGAAAATTCAATGGAATGAGGAAGAAGCCAGTTGGCGAGGAAAGGAACAAGATTGAGAAATTTCCCAAATGGTTTTGACTTTTGACCATTAGGTTGAAGTGTGGAATGGGAAATCTGGACTTGAATTCCCCTGCCGACATTTTGTTGGGCAGGTTGCCCGAAAAGACTCCTCCATACCCAGTGCAAATAACACCGGCTTTTGTGCCTATTTACTTGTTGCTGTCGGTCTAATTTTTAATATAAAAACTAATTTAATATTTAATTGATTTTAAATATAAGATTTAATTTATTTTATCTTTCATATTTATTTATTTTTTTCAAAATAATCCTTATAATAGTTACACATATTAAATACTCCATCAAATGGTAGTTTTAAGTTTTAACTAATACACATGATCAACAAAGATATTATAGGAAAGATAGCACATATTTATTATAAGTAACTAATTTAACGAACCTTTTTAATCTATCTAAATTAGTTAATTTCCTCTTATATTAAAAATCAGATGTATTATTACCCTCTCAGTTTTTTTAAAAAAAATAAAGTTAAAATGTTTGAATTTCTCCCTTCCTCTTCAATACTAAGTATGTAAAATGTTGTGACATTCCTACGTAAACAAAGCCTTATATTAGTGCTGTCTGGCACGGTGGACGGTGTCAAGCAAACACGTTTCATCAAAGGAATGGGATAGATTCTCATTCCCACATAATTACAGTAAAAATTCCCCACAACTAAACAATACCTAAGGACAGTGGAACCCCTCTCTCCACTTCTAATATTCCGATACTGCCCCTGATTTGACTGAGAAATAGGGGCCCTGTCCCTTGTATTAGAGATGGTCAACAAACTAGGCAAATCAGGGGATATAGATTCTTGTAGCCACAAACGGATATAATCGTGCATATCAGAGCTCATGCTCATCTCATCCACATCTTCCCCAACTAATGAATTACTACCTTCTAACCTAATTATAAGACTTAAAATCAGAGAAAGTAAAGGCTTTTTTGGTTTTTTGTTTTGAAAACAATTTTTTTAAAAAACAAAAAAAAACTTGTTTGGCAATTTGTTTTTAGTTGATTGTTTTAAAAAAATCATTTTTAAAAACTGAAAAACCAAAACAACTTTTACATATTTTTTTTGTTTTTGTTTTTTTTATTTTTTTGTTTTGAAAAATTGGAGAAATCTTTTTCTTTTCTTCTCTACTATCTACTACTTATCACTACTGTTGATAACCATCACTTGTCAAAATGTAATTATATATATATTTTTTCAAATGTGATTTTTAAAAATTATTTTCCAAACAAAGTTTTTTGTTTTTTGTTTCTAAAACTTGTTCTTAAAAACAAAAAACAAAAATAAGCAGACTTTAAATTTTATAATTAGAATCGGAGGTAGTAAATCTTCTAAGATAGTATGGATCAAATTCAGCTACTTGGACATATAAAGTTTGCTAAGTTGAGGGCTAAAATGTGTTTGCATGCATTATTTGCTGGTTTTATCAGTGCACTGTCCAGCACCACAAGCTGTCAATTACTGTATGTACCACTGAATTGGTCATTTTTTATCATCAACTTTGCTACTACCACAATTTGAAATGTCCACGTGTTACGTGTCAAAAGTTTTGTTCTAATCTCACACATCTGTTTTCAATTACACTGTTCAATGGCATGCCCCCTTCTCTAAAACTTTCATTTTCGGTATTGATCATTCATTATTAAACATCATTGTATTATTGAACTCTATCTTAAATATAAAATTCATTTTTAATATAAATTATATTAATAAGTAGGTTTTATATTTAAAATCGAAAAAGTAGTATAGTGCAAAATGAGAAGGAAAATTAAAATTGGGCATACTTATCTCATTATAAACTTAAATGATAAATAGTCATCAGAATGATGGTTTGCACAAGAAAAAATAGGTTGTATATAAGAAAAGTTAAGTTATACAGGTAGTATATAGTTAATATTAGCATTAATTTGCACACAACAAAAGGCAGATTACATTTAAGAAAAGTTAAGTTGTATAAAGTTTTTAAAAATTATTTACTAATAAAATTTTTCAACCAGGTATTTATCCCTAATTTCCCCAAATTTAAATCCCAGATTTAACGTATAAATATTAAACACTGTATGCCCTGGACTTTCTGCATTATTGGCGTTGCAGCCTCACCAGAGAATACAAGAACGCCCAGCTGCAGGCAATGAAACGCTGCGTGGTGGAAAATCGAAGCTGCTGGGGTGGCACTGCATAGGGATGGGGTGAGGAAAAATTGGGAACGAAGCACTGGAGCATTTAACCAAAAAGTGCAATTGTGTATCTAAAAAAAAAAAAAAAGGAATAAGGTGAAATCTGCAGGCCCGGCCCGGCCCATTAGATTTTTTTTTTGGGGAACACCGGAGGCATGACAGTCGCGCGCGTATCTCGCAGTCGCTCCTGTCCCTCCCCTCCCCTTGTCCCTTGTCGGAATTGAAAAAGGAGGGAAATCAAACTCCCAAAAACCCTAAACCTCGCAAAGCTCTCGCGGGCTTCCTACTTAGTTCTTCTTGCATGCATAACAAACCATTCAAGTTTCCTTGAGCCTTTTCATTGTTGTATTTTTTGGTGATCAGTGTGTTTGTGAAGGATAGTTAGCTTTCTCTGTGCGTCGAAGGCGGGAAGTGAAAATCCTGCAGAGTGCTTATATGGCGAGGCTGCTTCGGAACACTCACCTTCTCAAGCGTTCTCTATTCGACCCTACGGTTACTACGGTGATACATTTTTCTTTTTCTCTTCTCATATTTTGTTTTCCCACCTTCCTACAGTCCCTCATTTCTCCTTATCAGTTATCACACATTCTCACTTGACGGAGTCTGTGCGGCTATGAATCACCTTTAGAGTTCAATCTCCTTTATTTATTTTTGTTAAATGTTTAATCTGTCCGTGGCTCGGTAACAAGATTAAGGGATGAAGCTTAAGCGATTCTCGGGTAGCCTTTATCGCGAAAATCAATCTTTTCTGCAGATTACCTGTCCCTTGTTTTTTTTTTTTTTTAAAAATAGAAGCCCAATGGCGAATGGCTGAGCATGTTTATGCAGACCGAGAACTAGCTCTCTCTCTTTCGGCATATTCTTCTACGTATGTGTGTGAGATTGATTCCTCATCTTTAATATGCTTACCTATTGCTCGCTTTCGTTTCCAGGGCTTTAGACAAGGAATATTCGGCGCATCTCAAGTCCTCAGCTTTTCATCCAGAGGTTTATTTTTAGGAGAAAGGCTTTTTCTACTTCCTCTTTTTCTCTTTCTCAAGCTGATTGCCAAACAAGAAAAAATGGGCATTAATTTCTGATGCAAGATTAGAGACATGATTAAGATAATAGGGGACTGCCACGTGTCTTTGAAATTCCTGATTTATCGGTGATTTTGAAAATCAGGATCCCGGTGAAGCACAAGTTGCTATCAGTAAGTCCTAAGTTGTTTTTGCTTCACAGGGGAGATAGCAGCTTCAGCCATTTACATTGACATGGAAAGCTTGCTAGTCGGGCTTAGCTTCTTTAAATACTGTATTTGAACTCAGTAAATTTGAAGGAATCAATTGAATCCTGAAAGCACAATATTGCTCAGGCTTCTTTACTAAGATGTTGTATAAATTGGATTAGGAGGTTATTAGTCCGTAATTTGGAAGCTGAGTTTTATGTACTGAAAGAATTTTGAAATTCGCGTCCATCACTCGCTCCTGTTGATTCTGTGAACCAAACAGTAAAAGAAGTTAGATCCATTGCGGCACGCATGTGTACTGAAATCATATAGCGCGAGTACTGTGCTAAGGATCCACCCTGCCCCCCAAGTGTCAATTATTACCTTTTTCCTTTCTGTTTATCATAGTCTTTGCACTAATGCTCCTAGGATTGACCCTTTTTTTTTTGTTTTAATCTACCTGAAGGTAGAAGGGGATCTAAATCAGATGGAAGTGACTCAAGTGATGAGAACATATCCAAGAAAGACTTAGCCCTACAACAAGCTCTGGATCAGATCACTTCTGCCTTTGGAAAGGGATCGATTATGTGGCTTGGTCGCTCTGTTGCATCAAGACAAGTTCCTGTGGTGTCAACGGGGTCTTTTGCTCTGGATTTAGCATTAGGAATTGGTGGACTTCCAAAGGTATTCTTAACTCCATGTATGGAGTTCTTCTCTCTTTTATTCTACATGAGTACGTGGATAGAATTTTAAACGCTATGTTTTTATTTAAAAATGTAATTTGTTGAAAGTAACAAAAATTTTATTTATTTTTAAATTTATTATTTTTATTTCTTCATTGCTTTTGCCTATTTCCTTTCAGCAGTGGTATGACTGGTACTTCTTTATGTTTGTGTCTGCATTCACAGAATAAATTTGTTGTCTACTTGATTGTTTAGTGTTGGTATTTCATTTTGAAAAATAATGTTTTATTGCAAGATAACACATTGTGCACATATAGGTTGTCGGAAGAATAATTTGGGTTATAAATACATATATGTATCTGGAAGAGAGTGGAGAGAATCAACCTTATGTTTTGCTGTGTAGGTAGACATATACTTATGTTGCATGCAAATTCTGAATGTTTCTAGGGACGAGTTATAGAGATATATGGTCCAGAAGCTTCTGGGAAAACAACTCTTGCTTTACATGCAATAGCGGAAGCACAGAAGCAAGGAGGTTATCTTTCTATGCCTTTTCTTCGGACTTAAGCATGTTTATACCTTTCTTGTTGTCTTGGCTTTGTTCTTCACTACAGATGTGACCCTTGTACTGCTGCTATCTAGTATGATGCTAGTGCCATTTTCGTAATCTCTGTTTCTCCTGCTCTTTACATGTGCCTTTGTTATTTGCTTTGGATACATGTAGTTTCCTTTTTATGACATTTTAACGCAGGGCCAATTAAATTTCAAGAATTACCCGCATGACTTTTTTTTTTTTTTTGGTGGGTGACAATGACTATGTTATTTGAATTCAGTAAATTGTTGATCTAATCCTTATAAGCCTTCTCATTTAAGTATTGCTGCTCAACACTGCAGCGACATTTTGTAGGCTCTGGCAATTTTCTAACTCTGTGAATGGGGGTTATGTTTTGCCCCCCGTTTCTTTGGTTACTTCTATAGAGAACGGACTGTTATTGGTTGCTTTTTATAATATGAATTTTACATGATCAGTTCCTTTGTGGTTATGTTAATATATTACTTGTGCTTTGCCATTACAATGACAGTGAAGATGAGGGGGCTTATAATGTTGAATACCATGACTAACTTCTTAGTGCATATCTACTAAGGACTTGTGCTTGGTCCATGCAGCTCTGTAGAGATTAATTTGTTTGTTTCTTGCAGGCTACTGTGTTTTCGTTGATGCTGAGCATGCACTCGATCAAGCACTTGCAGAGTCCATTGGTGTTGATACCAAGAATTTGCTTCTTTCACAACCAGATTGTGGTGAACAAGCGCTTAGTCTTGTGGATACCTTAATCCGCAGTGGTTCAGTTGATGTAGTTGTTGTTGACAGTGTAAGTATGGGGCCCCTTTTCTTTTGTTTATGCTATTTTTATTGGTCATTGGTAGGATGGCTTCCTGATTGCTTTTATGAGTAAAATTTTAAGTGTCCCATCTCCCCCTATTTCCTCTCTCACCTTTTCACCGTATCTATTGCAGATATTACTTGCATGTGATTTAGATTATGTCCTCTGGTTTAATGGATTGGAGCTCTTATATGTGAGGTTTATGTCTACTGACTTTTTGCAGTGTTCCCAATACTAGGTAGCTGCTCTTGTTCCAAAAGGTGAACTTGATGGTGAGATGGGTGATGCTCACATGGCAATGCAGGCAAGGTTGATGAGCCAGGCACTTCGGAAATTGAGCCATGCCTTATCACTATCACAGTGTATATTGATTTTTATTAACCAGGTATAAGCTATGGTCGCTGGTTTTGCTAAATTTCTTCGGCCTACACCATAGGTGTCATTTTACTTGTGAAATTTTACCACATATAGCAAACTTGGTTGGTCTATCCTCTACTAATTTACATTGTTCTCTATTTTTGTCAGTTGCATTGAGCGAAAATTATTTTCTATTTCCAACTATCAGTTGAGCTTGAGCTCTTCTAATGGCACTGCTGGTCAATATGGTTTCGGACTATTAGTTTTAGGTTCATAATGACGTGTACCATTGATGTGTGTTTTGTTTTCCTCCTAATCTCTTCTGGGATCTAAATGTGTGATGGTGTTTCTGTTTTGTTCCTTTTTCTTATTACGAACGTAAAGCTGCATGCCTGCAAAGTTTAGCATTGCTTTACAACATGCTACTAAATAATCAAACTTCCTTGAGTCGGCCTTTCCCTCTGTTCTCTTTCTTTTGACATCTTCTTTAAGATTTTATGGAACTTAGGGGTAACATAGTTGCAGCTTCCCTGTTGGGGTTCTTTAGGATGCTAATATTGCGCGAGATAGTTTTTTCTGGTTGTTTATGTGAGAAGCGACTGTTGACTCATTGTCTTTTCCTGCAAGAATATATTGTTTTTAATTTTATTTTAAGTGCATGAATAACCTGATTATATTAAGTCCTTCAAGGGATGTGCTGATATAACCTTTTGATGAGTGTTGTGTGTCTCTTCAGGTGAGGTCTAAGCTTTCTACTTTTGCGGGATTTGGTGGGCCTACTGAAGTTACCTGTGGTGGTAATGCATTGAAATTTTATGCTTCTGTGCGGCTAAATATCAGGAGAACAGGGTTTATAAAGAAGGGTGAAGAGGTACAAATAATCTGTTCATTCCACTGCTCCCCTTGTATTCTCTATCTTGTTGAAATTAGTGTTATCCTCTCACAGTAACAAGACTTCTCACATATTTGGCATGAAAACTTCTTAGGTTGTGCTTGATTCGGCTGATAATGGGCAGATTGAAAATAGCAATGCATTTTGTCTCAATTGTATTCAAATATTTTAACTTTTTTTTTTGGCCTTATTGTCTTAGATGCCAATTTTCTTCCCAACCAAGCACAACTGAATCTGTAATCATGATAGTTTACTCTAGATCTACTTAAATGCATTAGAAAGTATGGGCAGTGGATTACTCATGCATATTATTCCAGTCTTCCACGATAGTGATAGAATCCATTATATGTAATATTGAAAATAACTGGGAGGAGTTCAAATTTAAAAATCATGCATGTGGAATCAACGTTATGAATACCTGGCGAAGATGTTTTATCATTTCTTTTGGAAAGATTGATTCAATGCATTGGAGTATGTCTCACATTACGCCTGTCTGTGTAATTTTGGCTTTTGCAGTACTTTTTGGGTATGAGTATTAGCTTGATTGCACTGAAGCGTTTTCATTACTGGTCTGAGTCGTCTTCTTTTATGATGTTTCATTATGCAGACTCTAGGAAGCCAGGTTCTTGTCAAGGTCGTGAAGAACAAGCTTGCCCCTCCATTCAAATCAGCGCAACTTGAGCTTGAGTTCGGCAAGGGTATAAGTAGACAAGCAGAAATTTTAGAGTTGAGCCTGAAACACAAATTAATCTCGAAGTCTGGCGTATTTTACAACTATAACGGCCGGAATTTCCATGGCAAGGAAGCTATCAAGAAGTTCCTTGCAGAGAATCATGATGCACAAGAAGAACTTGTTATGAAACTCAGGGAGAAACTGTATGCTGAGACAGAAAACGAACCAGAGGCAGGGACAACAACCGGAGATGTCACAGAAGAGGTTGTGTCATCCGAATCTACTGATGAAGAAGCAGCCACAGCTGCTGAAGCATGAATTTGTGGATGGCCTCAAAGCTTTGGTTCACATTTTTACCCTGGCTGGACTTGGATCCGTGTGGGTGAGATGGCACATCCTAATCAATTGGTTATAAACTCTTCAGTTGAAATTCAATTGAAGAATGCCACATGAAGAAGCTTCAGGTGGCTCAGGTAAACGTTGAAAGTGCTGCATATTATTTGTAGATATAATTTTGCTGGTCATCATTGTATGTACGCCATTGTCATGTGGTTCTCGGATGTTCTTGATCGCGAAGAAAAAGAGAGGTCATTAGTAAAGACCCTTGTCATTTCCAAGGATTTGTGATGATGTTACTCCGCTATATATAATGCTAAATCTGCATCTCATTGGAGATCTTCTGTGTTTCACGTTATTCGTCCTTCTAACAAATGAGCATGACTTAGGAGTGAGTGTTTGATTTTTCGGTTCGGTGTTTTGTGATAATTAAACTAACCGAATAATTGAATCGAGTGAATTTTAAGTACCGAATCGAAATTGATTAACCAAATTAATCAAAACTGAATTAGTAGAAATATTTTGGTTCGGTTATTTGATTGAAATATATAAATATGAAGTGATTTTAAATTAAAATAATAATAAAATACAATTAGGGAAAATCCCAAAAAAGGACCTTGGAATATGGGAAATTCCAGATTGGGTCTTTAAATTTCGAAAATGACAGAATGAGTCATTGACTCAATCTGTCATTTGTAAAATTAAGGCGAATTGACAATTTTGCCCTCATTTGTATTCATTCACTACAATGATTTAAGGAATCACTATAAGGGTTTAGGTGTTACCTAGATTCGTGTAGCGAATAACTACTCACTTTTTCATAGTCAGGTGTCTTGCTATTAACTACAACTAATGTTGTAATCACTAGAACAATGTAAGCATTATCTAGATTTGTGTAGAGAATAACTACTCATTTTGCATAGTCAGGTATCTTATTATTGTCAGGTACCTTATTATTAATTACAACTAATCTTGTAATCACTAGAACAGTGTAAGCGTTACCTAGATTTGTTTAGAGAATAACTACTCACTTTGTTTAGCCAGGGGCAAAATTATCAATTCATCTTAATTTCACAAATGACAGATTGGGTCAATGACCCATTCTGTCATTTTCGAAATTTAAGGACCCAATCTGGGATTTTGTATATTCCAAGAGCTTTTTCTGGGATTTTCCTATACAATTATAACTATTAATAAATATTTTATCATTCAATAGGATTTATTATAATAATATTTGTTATAACATATTTATTAAATATAAATATATTTAAAGAGTTTATATATACCCACATATATATATTTATCATAATAATATTTACTAAATACAAATATATAATATATTTATTTTGATTTTTGGGTTATAATTGATTTTTTTTAACTAACCGAACTGAATACTGAATTATTAAAAAATAAAACCTAAATATGTAACTAAAAACTGAACTGAAAAACTGAAATTAAATTTGGTTTGGTTTTTAGTTATGATTCGGTTTTACTCATTCTTAACATGACCCATTGACCTAACGAGGATAAGCGGATAACAGAATGTGGCATGGTTCCTTACTGTCAACTTGTGAAATCCTTCACAAAATTACGCATGGATAGAAATGAGCATGTTCTTTTAGGTATATCTGTGGATGCTGAGGTCTTGAGTCATGTCTCCTTGAGGATTATTTCGCCTGCGTAGATATCGCAAGGTAAAACCAAAACCCAAAACTAAGAGAATGGCGGTGTAAGTATTTGTGTAAAATGAAAATAATGATATTGTTTGAAGATTCTCTTTTCTTCTATTGAAGGATGGAAGATAGGAGAATGGTAAGATTTTTTTTTGAATAATGAGATTGTTATAGGATTTTATAACGAACTTTTAAGTTTATTAGTCACTACTTTTGACACTTAATTTAAAAGTTAGTTTCACATTTAATTTGGTTTTAATTATAATATTTTAATTCATTTTATTACTTGTATTTATTTGTCTTTTTAAAGTAATCCTTATAATAATTATATATATATTAAATGTTTCATCAAATGGTATTTTTAGCTAATATACAATTATACATGATTAGTAAGAGCATTCTAGAAAAGATAACTCATATTTATTATAAATAATTAACTTAAGAAATTTTTTTTAATATATTCAAATTAGTAAATTAGTTTTTATATTAAAGATCAGAGATAACATATGATTAATCATTTATGTCCGTACCTTGAGCACTCCGTGAGGAGAGATTCAGCAATTTAAAAAAGATTTAGATTGAATATTGAAATGTGCTATTTATTGCATTATAAATTATAAACTATAAATAAAAACTAAAATGTGATAAACGTTTTTAATCTTTTTTCCTCAGTACGACAACAAATGAATTTTGAACCTCCAAATTTTTTGTGTATCAACTACAAATCATATCAAGGAAAAAAGGGAAGACCTAATTTGTTATGATTGAAAGAAATAGATAAATGGAATTATAAAATTTTAATAAAAAACAAGCATATCAAGGAAAAAAAAGGGAAGACCTAATTTGTTATGATTGAAAGAAATAGATAAATGGAGTTATAAAATTTTAATAAAAACAAGAAAATTAACGAAAAGTTTTTAATCAAACTTATTAAGATCTCTCCGCCTTAGCATATCAATTCAAGGAAAGATGCCTAAGAAAATATGCTCATTTCTTGTGATGGGAAATTGTGAGTTTAATTTCACCACTAGTTCAAGCAGTTGCTGTGTCATGCAGGACGATCCCTCAGATTGACAGTGAGATGGAAAATTAAATATTTTTCTTTTCCCTTTATCTAACAAATATTTATTATTTCAAAACCATCATTTTTTAAAAATTTAAAGGAATATAAATATTCATCTTTGAAGTTTTCTTCAATTATCAGTTCAATCTCTTAATATAAGTAACTCATAACAACTTAATCTTTATAACTCGTTAATTCAGCATAACTCAATCCTTATCATTTATTGGGTAAGTAACTGAGATGTTTTAACTAAGAAACTAGAGACTGAATCATTTTAAATATGAAAATTTGGGGTGGGGGGAATCTTCTATTAAAAATTTTATTTATAAAAATGATATAACAAATTTTAATACATACGGAATAATAACATCTTGATTTAGGTCCTAATCACCAGTAAAATTTTCCCACTTTTTTAAATAAAAATTTAAGAAATGAATTAACAAATTTAGATGTAGTTCAAACTTTAAAGAAAAAAAAAATTTCCCAAAAACTTTTAATGATAATAGAAGGAAAGCAGAGGATGCTGAAGTAACAAGAAGATGGAGGTGGAGTCTTATTACAAATAACTAACTTAACAAATTTTGTTAATCTACTTAAATTAGTTAATTAGCTCTTATATTAAGGGTTATTTTATACAACTAGTTAAAGGGTTACTCTAGCCCTGCAATTATCTATAAAAGAGATATGAGTAGCTTTCATTTTCTTAACTTAATATAGGATGAAAACAAAGTGGTTGGTTTTAAGAGAAGAAATTTATCATTATCATTAATAGTGAAAAACTGTCAGAAACTTGCTTGTTAATTCCGTTTCATTAGGGTCAAAAGTTTGTGGAGAATATAATCTATCTCTGCCTGATTTGTGTTTTGGCAGAGAGGTACAAAGCTTGACGAAGTTGGTGTTCAGTGTATAGATATACGGGGAAGCATCATGGCTCCAGTCTCTTAAATCTTAGAGGAAATTATAAAAAAAGACTTTGGAATTACAAAAACACAGATAGGGACTCTTCACAACTTTACTTTGGGTTTTGATAACTTCATAATATATTATTATTGTCAAAAGCTATAGTAAAGTTATCAAGGGTCCCTATCTGTGTTTTTGTAATTTTAAGGTCTTTTTTTGTAATTTTCCCTTAGATTTAACTAGTTTGCTTGAAATAAATTAGATTTAATTATTAATTTTTCAGAGGAGTTTTAGGTTGGTTTAAAGTTAACCACGCAATTGAAAAAAAATAGTATGTGTGATTCATTAATTTATAAAGTTTGTTAATTGCTGGTATAAATTCAATAATAATAATAAGAACATCGTTGAACTGTAAGAAGTTCCAAATTTTCGTTAAATATTTCATAAACCGAAACATTCATACAGAATAATACACTATATTATTGTATATCTTTTTCCTCCTCCTCCACATGGTACCAGCATTTTGTAACTCAGTACCTGAAGGCTAAGGCTTCCATAGCTAAGCTTGGCAGTACTAAATTATTGAACATAAATAATTGGATTGGATTAAGATCATAATTTGCTTAATTGGAGCTTAATTTGGACTCGCATGAAGCTAATCATTCCAAAACATGCGAAAACCTGTCAGGTGGTGATTGGTCTTGCTCGGTCATCTTGCCAGGTCAGCAACCCTTCTTCTCACAGCTTCTTCGAAGGCAGCCTCATCCCATTCACTCCCCTGCCAACATTTTTTTTGGGACAATGTTTCAATGAATTAAGCACGAAAATTTTCCATAATATGTGTGTATATAAGAGTACTTTTCATGTTTTTTAAAAAATATATTTAAATACCTAAATATCACATATATTCAAAACTAAAATAGTAAAGCTAAATGACCTGTAAATGACGAATAGATAGTTCATTTTATTGGATTCCATGCTTATTATCTCAATTCTCAATTTTTGTATGATTTATTTTCCTCATTTTAAATTTCCCTTCCCTTCTATTGTTTTGGGTAGAACGCATGATACACAATTAAACAAAAACACACACACACACACACACACACACACAACGCTGTACAAGCAGATACCATATCCCTCAGGAGAATTAAGACATCAGACATTTTTTTTTATTAAGAAATGTCAGGTCCAAGTTGGTCCTCGATCAACCTTTTAATAATTTTTTAATTAACACACACACAGAGTCTAATCAATCATTGCTCAATTATTTTTTTGGTGGCCAAAATCAATGTCAATTATGAAACCTATATAAAATCAACATATGCATAAATAAAGAATAGTACAATAATATAAAGTAAAAAAAAATACATACGTTGTTTCACAGTATATTTCACATTACTTGTCCTTATTAAAGTTTCCTGATTGGCAAATTAATATCTAAAGTTCTATAAGTTGTTCACACGTCAAATTAAAATTTTCATATTTAAATTTAAATTTGAGACCAAATAATCACACTTCATCATCATCATCATCGTCATATAAACACACAGATATCGAACCATGATTTGTTTTACATTATTATTATTACATAGAATAATTCAAAACCCTAATTCAGCATGTGTTCTATCTAGTGCATTATTACAAGGACTCAAACACAGCATGAGGGCGGGGGGATGTGTAACCCCAGAGAGTGACATATCATGGGACACCAAATTAATTGTGTGATCTGACATTAATTAATATAACCCCATTGACTCAGTATTTCTGTGCATTTAGCCTTTACATACATTAATTCAGAAACTAAAATATTTCAAAATTTTCTCATGTATATATATAAAAATATAAAGAAAGTAACTCAAATTTTAAACTATGAGCTATTCTGCTACCCCTAGGCTACAACTTAAAAGTGGACAGGCCAAGTCTGATAATTAAAGCCTTATACTCTAAAGAAACTATCTATCCGTGTGTGTGTATTTATCACTCTATATATGTTCATATATACATACACACATATATATAGTTGGTACTTGGCAGCACTAATGAAATTCAAAATAGTCTTATGTGAACTCAAGGCCTGATTGATCATCTGAAGATATTGCGGTTCCGCTTTGGATTGACAGTGAAAAAAGTAACTTATTTTTAATTTGATTTTTTGAAAAGTAAGATTGGATAAAAGTTAAATTGGATAAAGTGAATTGTGTTTGGATTGAAGTTTAAAAAAGTTAGTTTGTAAAAGTAAGGTTAGTAAAAAGTTATTTGGATTATGATTGAGTAAAAGTATGTTTGTTTGTAAAATTACTAAAATAGGTATTAGTTTTAATAAATAATAAAACATGTAAAAAAATAATTTTACATAATACAATGAATTTAAATTAATTTAATATGAAGAAGTGAAATTTAATGAGTGAATTAAATTTTAAAACTTTAAAAAAATCATATCTCACAAAAAAAATCATAAAAATATTTTAAATATAAAGTAAAACATGATTAAAAAATGAATTTACATAAATATTTTATAAGGGAATAATATGACAGAAAAAAAATGAGAGCTCCTAGGTAAAATGAGAGCTCCTAGTCCAAAAAAACGAAGAAAGGAATATGAGGGAATAATATGGCAAAAGTGAGAGAAAAATTAATGGGGGGAATAAGCTCTGACACATCACAACAGTCCAATAAGCTCTTCAAAAATAAGCTCCTTCTTGCAGCTTCAAGAAAATGCACGGTGCAATGAGCTTATGAAAGATAAGCTCAATCAGGCATAAGCCCTCCCCAACTACACTCCATTTCTCAATTGAGCTTCTGTCTAAAATAAGTAACTTTTAACCCAAATTAAGCCCTCCCAAACAGGCATTGAGTATATTCTACTCGACTCAATCATTATTCATTTATTTGCCATTTTGGACCCAAAAAAAATCATTATTTGTCATGGAAAATATGGAGATGATTTTGTACCTCATGGCTCATGTAAGGTAGTTGGAGAACTTAAAAAAATTTTAAATGCTTAATTAACAATATGGTCTTCACTCAATCGAAAAATTAAACAGGTTTTACATACTTTTACATATATTAGATAGACTAATTGCAATTCTAGACAACTCGTTAAGACATTATTTACAAAAACGAAGAGATATACTAAACTCAAACAACCAAAGTCACAAACTAATAACGATCTGAGGATTATTCATAAAAAAAAATAACGACCTCATTTAAACAAATGCGAGACCATTTGGTCTTCATCGCCATTACACACACACACACACAAAAGTTATTATCTAATCCCTGCCTGCATATGATCTAATTCCTATCTGGATTCTACTTGACAACTCTTTTATATTAAATTAAACACACACATATAAATATATGTATAAATTAGACATGACGTACGAACTATATAACCATAAATATCATGACGATGAAAACAAAAACAAAATATCTAATATAAGTGATAAACGCTACCACCTCCTATTTCCTTAATGTAAGAGCTAACTGGGGGTTAAATTTAGTCCAAAATATATGACATCAAACCACTTTGTTTCTCATCTTTTTCTATAGTATTCCTATTGATTGTAAATAATTCCCATCAAGTGATGATTCCAATCATCCAATATATATGATCAAATATAATAGTTTAGGAAAACCAACATATATTTGTGATAAATAATTACCTTAACTAATTTTCTTAATATCCCTAAATTAGTTATCTAATTTTCATACTCCTTCAGTCCTTAATGTAGGATATAATTTGAGAGTTAATGTTAGACCTATATGTAAGACCTATTTTACATGCTTATTAATTTTTTTCAAATTAACTCTATTAATTTTTTTTCAACAATAATCAAATAGGAAAGAGATAAAGGGAATTAAGGAATATGATTAGGATGTTTTAACAAAAAACATACTATCTCTAGTCCTAATTATAAGAGCTAGTTGACTAATTTGAGGAGATTAAGGAAAAAAATTTAGTTATTTGTAAAAAATAGGTATTGTCTTTCCTAAAATATCCTTACTAATAAAGTGTATTGGCTAAAACTACCATTGTTAGAAGGATTATTTTGAAAAAAAATACATAAATAATATGAGAGACAAAATGGATTGTGGTCTTATATTTAGGACTAAAATAAAAGTCAAACAAGGTCTTATATTAAGGACTGGAGGTAGTATCATATTAACGAATTTAACATACATTATTAATCTATTCAAATTAGTTAATTAGATCTTATATTAATAATCGGAGGAGTATTAAAGATGGGGGCTAATATATTATATTAATTGCTGTTTCAACGTGTACTAGCTGGCCTTGTGATTAAATTTACCAATGTTGGTAAATTAGGCCCCTGTTGGCCCCTACTCAAAAGGAAATTTTCTAGACGTACGCACTTACATTAGCCAATCACAGGGAGCCCTAAGCAGTAGGAGATAAGACACGGTAGAACTGACAACAAAAATCGTACTGCATGTTTTATGAACTGTCAATATATATAGATATCTGTACGGACCTCTATCTTCAATCTAAAAGTTGCTTCATTGATGGAATTCCCTTGTGCTATATGTGTGGACAGTGTGGTTGCGTCCACAGAAATTAAGCTCACTTTCTGAACCTTTCTCAAAAATTCCAATAGGGGACTCACTATATTATCGACCTGCAGAAAGTTTGTTTGTCTTCTTACAGTCACGTGTAGGTCGGTGAATCTTTCTTCTGATGAGCTCCAACCTGCCACATCTGAAACCCTTACGCTCAATCTTTCAGCTGATGATGAACAACTGGTTTGGTTTCTTGTCTTGTTAATAATAGTTATTTCCCTTCCGTTTTTGCCTTCACTTGCTCTTCTAATTTTTTGGCCATCTTTTCATTCTCAGCCATCAATGAGCTTAATGTCTTCGTTGCTGCTATAAGTATTTATGCTTTGTCTTTCTGCACAACGAAAATTCAATTGGTGCTATAGGTCACTTCCAACATTTTCATGAAAACCAAAGAGAGGTTTAAAGCTTGTAATTTTGCCCTCAGTAAACCCATTCTTTGAGAAGCCAAAGAGCCTTTGAAAAACACAAATGAATATATTGAATAAGAGCAACTTGAAGAGTAATATACTTATAACCCTTAATATACGATCAAGATAACTAATTTACAAAGATTAAAAAAATTAACTAAGCTAGTTTTTGTAATATATGGGCATTGGTTTTTCTAAATACTCCATTTAATCATTTGTATTGGAAATTACTCTTATAAATGAAAACTCTAATGAAAACTCCTTAGTATGTACGATCAGCAAGATTGTTTAGCAAAAGAATTATAAATAATATGTGAGATAAAATGGATTAAAGCATTACATTTAGAATCAAAACAAATATCTCAATTAACAACTATATTTAGATCAAAGGAAATAATAAATACTGTCTCTAGTTCTTAAAATAAGATCTAATTTATAGTTCAAATTCAGTCCTTAATCTAATTTGTAGATCTTATGTTAAGAACTAACGTGGTATCTCGTATGGTAAAGAGGAAAAATTTCTCCTCTAACTGTTTTATAAAAATGAGTCGAGGTTGTATGCATATAAGCAGTAGTCGCTATGAACTTAGAAGCTAAGATAATGGAAAGTTCATAAACAAATTAAAATCAGAAGATTTTACTGAGAGAATCATATATATAAGCTTGGTACGTATTCATACGAACGTACCTTGGTTTCTGGAGGGAGCAGTGATTTAAGTGCCTCAAAATTCCGATTTAGTTTCTCTCGCCTTCTTCGTTCTGACATCACATGAAGGAACTGGCTGCCAATGTGACGAGATTGTTCATATTATTCCCCCTCGTTCTCATAAAATATAAGCCTCTAAGCAGTTCAAAAGATCTCTTGAGCAAGCTTTGCCTTCGCAAACTGGGTTTGTAATGACCCATTCGAGAAGGCCTGTAACTCTTGAAAGCACTAACTCTTTCTGGAATTACAATATTAGGCGGATCTTGCTCAAGTACTAAGGTTGAATTATTATTGGAAGAAGGCGAAGATTTAACATGAAGAATTGCTTTAATAACGCCGTTGTGGTCATTCTCTTGCTGCAGAAGCATTTCAGGCACCAAAGCTGAACTGCTCGGAATATTGCTGAATAGGAGAAATGTGTACTGATCGGAGCTGCCTGTAGATAGTGACCTCAGACAAGATGAAGATGAAGGTGGAATCTTCTGTTCAACTTGATGGGACTGTACAGAAATTCTTCTGGAAACCAGTAGTACGTGCACATCTGTTTGAATCTCAGCATCCTGCACCAAAAAACAAAAAGATTAAAAAAAGGGAAAGAGATCAATTCAAACAACGAACGAGATTAAATTCATTTGGCAGAGAATAAACATACGTTACTGACGTGAGAGACACATGAGAATCCGAGCTCAATTTCCCCATTGCGACAACCTATGAAAACAGCTGTCTGTAAAAAAGGAAAATCAACATTATTAGTATGCTTACCAAGTTTAGGTTTCCTCTTATCTTATACTACCTCCAGTTTTTAATAAAAGACTTTGTTTGATTTTATTTGATTTTAGATATAAGACCTCAATCCACTTTGTTTCTCGTATTTATGTATTTTTTTTCAAAATAATCTTTCTAATAATGTTAGTTCTAGCCAATATATTTGATTAGTAAGGATATTTTAGGAAAGACCACGTATTTATTATAAGTAACTAACTTAATTTATTTCTTTAATCACCTCAAATTAGTGAACTAATTCTTATATATAAATAGGACCGGAGGTAGTATATGAAAATACTAGCTGGTCTTGTTCAGCAACAAACCTCAATCCTTGCTTCCCGCCAAAAACATGTATATTAAAAGCGAGTTTTGTTAGCCAACATTACTGCAAATATGTATTTGTCTGGTAAATTTGCTTCAACCAGGAAAGTCGCCAGTTAATTACCTTAAAGAATTGTCTTTTTATATCTGTCCATGCCAGTTGCAGGAGATCGGATTGTTGCAGCTCTAGGAAAGAATATCGGTTCCAAAAAGCCAGTCCTGGAACGCGGCTGATAAAACAGGAAGCCAAGTAATTTGAGAGGGAACTGGAGGCATGTACATTTTACTGATAACAATCAGCTAGTGAAATATTCTGATGGACACAGGTAGCGAATTTAATTAGCTAGCCTTACTTTTCAGAAGTGACATCAAATTCCAAACCCCTATATTGACCAAAAAGCCTTCGATCAACACACCCCAGAGAAGAGCTTGCTTGATGGCTTCGTACGTCATATAAACCGTCCATGAAATGGACAAAATCAACCAAGCAAGTGAAAATTAAGCCTCAGAAATTGAAAAAGAACATGCGTGCGTGCGTGTGAAGATTATCTACGTATTTCACACACACACACACACACACACACACACACCTATCTATCTAGTTACTTGGATGATGAACTATAGGACCAGAGGCGAATATAGGCACAGCCATAAGAGTGAAATGCAGATTGTAAGAAATCAAGTCTTGCAGCTTCTGAGAAGGAGAAGACACTATCCATGGATTGGACGTACAGTAGTGTATCATATGAGGTTGTTGATGATGGTAATCTAGGGTTTCTTCATCATTATTTATCAGAATCACAGAGTGTAGTAGCAGGATCCAGTCATTTTACTCTTAGCGTATGGAATCTGTGCCGCGCTTTGTTATGTGATTGGCTTGGTTCACCGAATGTTGGCAAACCACAGATATCTTTCTTATAAAGGTTAAGTTGCATATAAAGAAGCATTGTATCCCCAAAATTATAATTTTAAAAACAAATGGAACACGATCGATGAAGTTAACCTCCATGCAATATTTATTTATGGATCGACGAGTTTATATAAAAGGTGCATCAACTGTGTTATATTAACATTATCACTGCTTAAATGTTCATGAAAACATAACATTATATTGTATTTAGAAGTTATAATAAAAAGGAATACTATCACTTAATCTCATAATGGCTGTAGACAGGTTTTGAGTATATAATTTTGGTTTCATGTTAAAATATTTCTCATTTTAAAATCCCAATGAAGTATTAATTATATATTAACACTTTTACCCCTGATTAATAAAATACAGTCATTTAAATACTCCAGCTGGTATCGTTACGGTACAAAATAAAACAAGGACATTTTAACTATAGGGTTAATTAGAGTGCACTTTTGTTCCGTACGTATGGGTACCCTGAAAAAATTGTAGAAATAACACTTTTATATGCTGCATTACTTTACAATTTTCAAAGCTAGGTACTCAATTTGCAAGAATTTTAATTTTAGTTCTTTTAGTTTCAAAGCATAGATACACAAAATAATTTTTAAGGTAAAACTGCATTCCAAAAAAAGACCATGAGTAAAAGTGCTCTAAAAATAAATTTGCACCACTAAAAAAATCGGATATTGAGTGTACTTGACAAATAAAAATACTTTTATCTTGAAAATAATTTTGTACTATTTATGGTTCTTAATATAAAATTTATTTAATTTTTATTTTGATATTAAATATAAGACTCTAATTTACTTTGCCTCTTACATTTATTTATTTATTTTCTAAGGTAGTCCTTATAATAATGATAGTTCTAGTAAATACACTTAATTAGTAAGGATATTTTAGGAAGATAATATCTATTTATATAAATAACTAACTTAACTATTTTCTAATATACTCAAATTAGTTAATTAGCTCTTACTACCTCCTATCATAATTATAAAACCTCGTTTATAGATTGTAAACGAAGTTTTATAATTAGAAGCAAAGGTAGTATATTAAGAATCACAGGTAGTACATCCATGCAAAAAATTTCTTTTAGTATCCTAAAAAAGAACAAAAAAAAATGTCTTCTTTATTTACCTTATAAATAGAACCAGAAGAGTAACCTATAGAGGTCATCAAGGGTTAATTTTGTCATTTGAAGCATTTTGAACTTCAAATCAAAGGGGTGTTTGGGTATCAAGGAAAGTGCTTTTTAAAAGCACTTTTCAGTAAATCAAGATAAATTCTTCTATATATTTACTTCATATACTGTAAAATCACTTTTAAAATTATAACTTTGATTCCATTTAAACACACAAATGGAGGCGGATTAAAACTTGGGAACGTAGCAAAAACCAGAAATGCACGAAAATTCAGCAACAATTTTCCCGGCCCTTTCTCGATCATCCTTTCTGTCTATTTTATTTTGTGGTTGGTTTTTGCTTTACGTATATAGCTAAATAATGGTGTTTGGCGAAACATTCTAGCTTTGTTGTCACTTAGAAACTCTTTTTAATTGAAAAAATCCCGCCAAAAAAAAACCTAAAATTATTAAATTTCAAATCGGAATTATTTTCTACACTTTAACGATTTTAAATACTCTTGACTTACAAATAATAACACATTTTTGTGATAATTTTTTATTTGAGATTTAGTAATTTTTATACTTCTTTCGTGGATTTTTTCCTCCTCAATTATATGTTATGCATAGATATAATCTCCTTAGTTTTGAAATTTTACGGTGAATCCTCGTAAACTATTACATTTACGTAGAGAACCCCTACTAATAATTTTGTTTATTATTTATCCACACACACACGTGTGTGTGTGTGTAAGTTTAGGGGTTAACATGCACATAACTTAGAGCTCAAGGGGATTGTACATGCAAAATATGATTTAAGGGGATACAAATTGATGGTTAGGGTTTATCCATACAAACTGAAATTAGATGGTTTTGTTGCTGATTTTTAAGGGTTAAGGGGTTTTGAAGCAAAAATAGAAAAATTCTCTTGGGAAGCTCAGTAGGATTAGGTCAAAGAGTGTCTACAGAAGTATATTTATAAATCATTTATTAACAAAGTTTTCATTTTGCAAAAACGAAATTTAAACTCATAATCTTTATGAGCTATGGGTGAATTCTTTATTAACTGAATCAATTTTTATTAGCAGGAGTCTTTTTGTTTTTGTTTTAACCCATTTTGACCTGATGTAGCTCTGCCAAATTCGGTTGGCCGTCCGCGTTAGTTGTGCGACCATACCACGCGCAGCCACCGTCAAAATTATATTTAATTAACATGTAGCTTTCATTATTTTATAAAACGATAAAAAAAATAGAAAAAAAGGGTTTTAGTAATCAGTGGTACGATGATTAAGATTTGATAAGATGAAGGGATTCGCCTGCTGAACCTTTTTTTTTTTTTTTACTGGGGTTTGGTACAATGGTAAAAAGATCACTTTTTGTCTTTAACGCTATTATTGAAGACAAGAAATGGCCGCAGCGGCCAACGAATGCTGAATTTCGCAGAAACCAAATTAACTTACAAAACTTGTGAGTTTTGATTAATACATAGGTTTAATACTTCTTATATATAAGAAATAAATAAATAAATAAAGATGAAAACAATTAATCAGAGTATTAACTAAATAACTCTTCATAACATTTATCACAGCATAATTTTTTAACAAAATGTCTGAAATAATTTTGATTTTTTTACCAAATATCTAGTGACGCTCCAATTTATATTTAATGAAGGGCATGAGGGAAATTTTTTAACAGATACCAGTAAAGTGAACATGGAGATTTTGATTCTGTCTCTCTCTCTCTCTTTGCATGTAAGGAACAAGTTGCATTGAATTAACTTTAGCAATTGAATTACCAATGAGACAAAATATAAGAACCACATAATCAATTTTCTTTAAGTTTTTTTTTAATCATTTCCTATTAGCTGCACCAGTCTCTATATATGTTTCTTATTGTCGATTCCAATTATTCGAAACACGCATGCCAAGAAATTATAATCTAGTTGAGTGTAAAATATTTTTAATTCTACCGGCAACCTCAACTAAATGCTACATAAGAAAGTCTCCATCTTTAAATATCTAAGAGTGAGGTATTTTCTATAAGGGGTATTTTTTTAAAATACGCCTTGATTGCATATAGAAATCTAAGACTTATATCTAATGACAAAACAAATATCACATTGGCAAAACAAATAATGGTGCCACATTTTGATATATTTATATGGGTAGTCCCCATGTTGACTTCATGTTCCGATAATCTTAAACTTAGAAACTCATATGAGACATCTCCCGGATATTTCCTTTGCCTTCAGTAAACTATTCTGACAGCTGTTTTTCTTGAGAAACAGGTTGGTTTTGCTTTAATTTATGGAATTGGCCGGGTTGCACATATAGGAATGAGGTTTAACTTTATTCAAGGGGCATAGTCCAAATCCTGATCTTGTTTGAATTTTGCAAAATGACAGTTTTTGAAAATAATGCGGGACGATCTTATTATGTATGCCAGAAATCGGATCGGATTGGCTAATATGATTGATGGGATGCTAATATAATTGGTAGTTTTTATTTCTAATCGGAAAAGGCTCAAGTTGATTGAGATGTTATCTAGTCAAAGATTAGATCCGACCCTAGATTATTTCATCAAATTTGAGGTGGATAGATTGGAAGATTTTTGGAATCTTTCAGGAAAAACTCCTTCTCAAGCCAGCTACTCTTGTGGTTTCCATTCTACATCAGTGTGTCATCCGGGTAGCCTTGTAAATTCCCTCCGAATTTGGTTTGCTCTCACGACGCTCCTAATTAATTGCGTGTTCCATTACTGAGAAGAGTTTTTTTAAAATTTGAAAAAAAAAAGACATAAAAATGAAAGCCATATAGTATTTTGTTATTATATATTTAGCATCTTGAAGTATTTTTTTAAGTACACCTAGCACCTTAAAATATTTTTTAGTGTAATTTTACTCACAGCAATTTAGGTTATTGGACGTAGTTGAAAAACTAGTTTTAAAGTGCTAGATGCTCCAAAATATAATTTAGAGTACCAGACGCAACACGAAAAAATAATTTAAAATGCTAGACATACTAAAATATAATTAGGATACTTAATATACTTGAAAAAATACTTTAAGATATTGATTACATCACAAACTATTTTAAGATATTAGATGCACATTATTCCTTTTGAGTAATGAATAATGTGGACCAAAATAGGGTCTCATGTTTTTCATAAAAATCTAAGAGAGTCGCACTGTTCATTTCTTTATTATGAATTGGGGCAACTTACTATAGATTTTTTATATCATGTAAATTATTTTTCTTATAGAATAGTAGTTAGCATGTCGATAATCATCAATAATAATGATAACAAAATAGTCTAGTGTGTATAAAGTATAAAAGAAAGCAGGCTCTATTAACTAGAGAAGTAACTGAGAAGCGTCAGGAAATACTGTGTACATTTGGATTCAGGTGATAATGAAGGGTCAAAGCCAGAATGTGGGAATAATTT